GACAGTTTGTCTGTTTCCCTACGGGATAATTGTTTTAATTCAAAACTAAAAGAAGTTAGTCTTGTTCCTGGCTACCAGTACGATGCCCACTGCAGGGCTCCTATGCAATGAGCAGAAGACCAATAAAGAGGATCAGGACTTATTTTTACATCTACTTTGTGAGCCAGGAAAGCAGCCTACCACATCAGTGTCATTCTATGGGCTCTGATGTCTGTAAATAATACCCATCCTCTTATGTCCTCCTTGAAATACCCAAGGAGAAAGGAAGCTTAAGAGACTCTCAAAACCGCTAGCGATGGGGGGCAAGTGGGGATGGGAACAGAAGAGATGATAGCAAGAATACAATTTTTTAAGAGGACTTTAAAATCAGCTTGGCAGGAAGACGACTTCAAATGGTTTGTCTCTTCAGAATGCCAAAAGAGCTGAGCTTCTCATCGCAGCATATGCACCTTGATCTACAAAACCCCCATTCCCATATTCTGTCTCTACCTGTACTTGGTAGACTTCATCTTGTCAACAACAAGTTCACTCTTTTTACATTTGAGGCTCAAATCAATGAAGTCTAAAACATGTTAATTCCATACAAAAAAAAAAGGGCTGAGGAAATTCAACTGAAATACCTCAGCCGACCGTTACAAAGGCACATGCACACCACTGACTGACGAATGCGTAAACACGGGCTGAGCCAAACTACACAGCTTATAGATGATGCTCCAAAAAGATAAACAAGGTTATTAACATATCTGTTCTCTAAGTTACAGCTAAGCTGCAGATTTAAGCTCTACAGTACAAGACCATGATTTAAGAGTCTATATTCCTCTGAACTCTCAGCACCAGCTTCTTATAATGACATGATCATTGAACGTTTCCACAAAGAGCAGCAGAAGCCAGGAGAGACCAAGGTTTTATTTTAAATTGCACAGTAAAAATAGCAAGTGATAGGTTATCGGTTTTATTAGACTAACTGAGGAAAAATGCCATCTCTTTTTTTATCCTAAGCTTTGGTTATTTTTATTTCTGTTTCATTTATATCTGCTTGCATTAGCCCCCCTTCTTTTTCTACGAGATTACTACTAAATAAGAAAACTGCTGGTTTAGGACACACTGAAACTGGAACTTTAATTCATGTCCCTATGGATCTTGGGAAAAAGCCAATGCAAGCCTTGAACTTTATCATTATAAACCCCTGGCACCCACTAATCACGAGATTGCATCTTCACATAAGATAAGGGGAAGATTTTTGGCATGGGAATGAACACATACACCTAGTTGTTTGCAAAGGCTTGCAACCTGGCAGCCTTTCAGTAAGGTTTCACTCACATAGCTGTTACTGTATACTCTCCAGCTATGGCTGGGAAGTTGATAATCCTTAAGATATGAGGAGAGTTTTGATTTCTGACACAGCATTCCTGAGATAAATGCAGGATCAGAGAGATGCTTTGAAATTCCCAGAGATACCCCACTGGTAAACTGCTACATGGGAACAACTTTTAACAAAGTGTCTTGAAAAAAAAAAAGTGAACTCATGGAGCTTGTGTTTGCCATCAAACAATATATTAAATGTAAACCAGACACAGAAAATGAGAGCATCCCAAAGCCTGTTTTTTCAAACTTTCCCAACGTACCTTAGTATTTTTGTCTATCCCAGAGACACGAGTTATTTCCAACTCTATTACAGTTTCTTGTAAAAAGGTTTTTCCTTCCCTGGTACAATTCCTTCCTGCTGCTCTCACTAGGTGTCATTTCAGAGCATAAACTTGTATTTTAAGCAGTCACGCTATATAAAAATACAGTCACCTTCAAGTGGTCATGAAACTTTTCTGTCTATATAATTTTAAATATAAATGTTTCATATACAGTTTTTGATTTTTTGATTTTTTTTTATTAACTCATTTATTAGCTAGTTAGCAACACGCCTTATCATAGATCAACGTATTTACCATAGATGCAAAATTGTGCAAGTTTACAAATGACAATTGACTACAGGTAAGACTTCTACATCATTAAGTACACTTTTGTGTACCTGACATACCCACAAAAGGAAGGAAATGAGGAATTAAGCCACCTAGAAACACAGAGCCACTGATATACTGAAGTCATGCACAACTGCTGAAGGACAAAATCTTATCATAGAATCATAGAATGGTTTGGGTTGGAAGGGACCTCAAAGATCATCTAGTTCCAACCCCCCCTGCCATGGGCAGGGAAACCCTCCACTACACCAGGTTGCTCAACGCCTCGTCCAACCTGACCTTGAACCCTTCCAGGGATGGGGCATCCACAACTTCTCTGGGCAACCTGTTCCAGTGCCTCACCACCCTCGATGTAAAAAATTCTTTCCTTATATCTAATCTAAATCTCCCCTCTTTCAGTTTAGAGCCATTGCCCCTTGTCTTACCACTACACACCCTTGTAAAAAGTCCCTCTCCAGCTTTCCTGTAGGCCCCCTTCAGGTACTGGAAGTCTGCTATAAGATCACCCCAGACCTTCTCTTCTCCAGACTGGACAGCCTCAATTCATACCAATTCATGACCTTTTCCTTGCATATTCAGCCCCATTCACTAAACAAAAGGTCATTGGAAACTAATACCCTCAAGTTATGCCTGTGGAGCAGTCCAGATAGCTACATAAACCTCTACAAAACCTCTTGCCCTCTGCAGTTCCATTCACAAGCATGGCGCTGTCTACTGCTTCAGGCCATGCACCCCTTTCACTCCTATACATTCCTTCACCAGACTAGCTTCCTTTCAGTATCTGATACAGTAATTCTGTCTCAAGGTTAAGTGAGAGAATGTTGAGAGTTGTGGTTACAAACGGCTGGCACTTCGGAGGTGGGAAAAGGAGAGAAGAGTATCTGGGGCAGTGCGGCACTGGAAAAGTAAAAGAGCAAAACAGCAAGTAGTTCAACTTTGCAGTGAGTTGCTTCACAAAACACTTCAATTTAAGGTTTTTTTTCATTATTTGAGTGTCTTTCTAACTATACAGGAAAAAGAAGACAGAATTGCAAGTGACTGAAGCGCTGCTACCAATGTCCAGTATTTCATTAGTGTACGTTATCAAATTAAATCGCAGTTTCCTCTGATAAGAAGGTTTTATAGGTGTAATCTACCTATGTCAGATATCAGGACTGTAAGTGCTGAATTACTTCCCGTATAGTCAACCTGCTTTATGCCAATTCAAATCAGAGTTGCACAGGCAACACGCACATTCAGTTTTAGGAATTATTTTTTAGCTATTGCTAAGTGCAACATGTACTTCTGTAGCAGATCTCCAGACAAATGCTATTTTGTGGTTCAAATCTCTACCATTCAGCAAAGAACAATAAGAATTTCCAGAGGAAAAACATTAGTCACGTTCCAAAACATTACGCTATTTCACATCAACTGCCCACTTGCTGTAAAAAGCAATGATAGGACTCACTGGGGAAGTGCTAAAAGCACTTGAGCAGCAGTTGGGAGAGAGGTGTGACAAGTTCTAATTCAGTGTCCCTCTTGTCCCAGTTTTCCCTGTCTGCCTCCATCCTCCTACTGCTCCCAAAACAAGCCTCCCTGTTTAGCACCACAAGCAGAACACAGTATTTACTTTGAGACAAAAGCAAGGGGGCCAAATGCTATAATACACCACCTGTCTGTAGCCAGACAACCACCACCATCTCTTCCCCCACTAGTGATACAGCAATCTGAGCTGAGAAGACATGTTGTGACAGCTGCATCCACACCCCTGGCAGAGCTGCCCTCCTTTTTTGGGTCATCGAAGTTTGTTAGTTTGAGCAAGGCAGCCATAGACTGCAAAGACATCAGAGCCAGAGGAAGTTCAGGAATAAGCAGAGGATCAGACACTGGTATGGTAACAAGGGATCCCCTTGCACCAGATAGACTGCAGGATTTCTGGATATGTGTAAGGCTTTTCTAGAGGCAGGGATGCAAGTGTTAAATTCTTTCTTTTGTGCTGTTTTTTTGTTGTTTTCGAGAATCCTGGAGAGGTAAAAGTCAGTAAGCATAGTAAAATACAATGTGGTCTACTATACTTGGGAAAAGATAAGGAGCTAATGAGACTGAGACATAGAAGACATTAAATCTTTCAGGCTTCATTCAGTAAATGTATCCCGATGCTGTTAGATTTGCTTTGTTGTTATAATAACTTCTAAAATGTTGTTTTGTTTTAAAAAGTTATCTGCCTGCCTTAATACTCTGCAGTGGATTTAAAATGGGGCATAAAAAAAATTTTTCTTTTCCTTTTAGATTGAAATCCCTCTTTACTAATAATAATTTTAAAGTAGGACTTTAGCACCAGAAGGTAGAACACAGATGCAGTTTCATAAATGAACATGGGAGTATTTTACAGGGAGAAGAAAACCAAGATGATTACTCCATTGTTTTCATTCCATTTGTAACTATTATTAAACCAGTATTCTTTTGTAGGCCCATATATAGCTTTGTGATCAATACACAAGCTAATCTACACATCACTACATTAAGTTACTTATTGTCTAATTTATTTCCCGAGTCATTTAAAACTGACTAACTATGCACAGTACAGCAGCACTCATCTGCAAGCACTGCAGTCAGGAATGGGAGAACAGAAAAGACAAAAGAACAGCTTACACCCTTAATCTTTTACTCTTGAAGTCATTTCTAGGCAACTTATTGGTCCTCCTACCATATTGCTTTTGAGCTGTAACATGTATGGAGACAGAAGAGTTAACTCTCAAACAGGTGCTGGCTTCGAGACCTTCAAGTACAAGCCAATGACCAGTCACTTTTCATTTCCAGTTTTTGGTAGCACAACACAGCATCCCGCCAATTGCAGAGCGTACCTTCATGACGAACCTCTGTGACGTCAGTGGACTACTTCTACTCGTAAACCGAAGTGTCTTGATTATATTAAGTACTAGATGACACTGTACATGAGATCTGATGAACTGAAACCTGCATTTTTCTATTCCTTACAGACATCTTAAGCAAAATGAAATATCCCAAATATTTCAGAAGTTACATTACCTGTCAAAGGAATGGAACTGTACAGGCTGTTCGGCACCTCCATCACCAAGAACTCCAAGGAAGGCCGGCGGCAGAAGAGCAGCATCCACTGCAGTCCCATCAGCTGGTGTGCTTACCAAGCTTCTCAGGATGTCCTTGACATTGACATTTTTTGCAGCTGGCAGAGAACTTGCAGGCTTACTATCCTCTGTTCCTGTCTCACTTCTGCCCTCCTGAGACTTATTTACTTCTAATGAGAGTGTACATAGTACTTCACTGATTGCATCTGGACCTGCACTGACATCCACAGGTTCTGCTTCAGCAATACTACCAGAACTGTTTGTCTGCCCTGAAGCTGGTTCCTCCCCAAGACCAGAATCCCTTCTTCGTACAGATGCTGTACTTTCTGAATCTTCAGTGGAGGCTGAAACACCGAGAGCAGTGGATGGGTTTTCCACATCTGTTCATATCAAAACCAGAAAGTACATTTTAAGTTCATTATTAACAGAACTGCATTCACTACATTGCTCCTAAAGACACAACACCAACAGGTGACAAGTGAAATAACACAGCTATACGTATTTCCTCTTACTTAGAGATTTAATATTATCTATAAGTATTTAATAGGAAACTTAGAACAGAAAAATTTCCTTCTAATTTCTGAGAAGCCTGAAAAGTTATAAAAAAATTGAAACAAGGAAACGAAAGACATCGACTCAACGGTCAAAGAATGAAAATTAATTGATTGCCCTAAAGAAGAATAGGAGAAAGAAGTCTTATAGTGGAAACAAAACCTGCCAGTCTGTTCTTATGCATACTTAACCTTATCCAAAATAGTAACGTTTCTGCAACAAGCATTTGTGAATACTTAGCTACTTCAGAGAGATTAACCCTCTCTACATCGCAAAAAAATCAACCTACGGATTGGGTTCTTCTCAAATCAGAAAAAGATGCACATAAATACTGAGGCAAATTGAACACTGTAACGTTGTTTAAGTGGTTACAACGTGCATACTTCTATACAATTGCACATGGACTTCTACAGAATTTTGAGATGAGTGAACAACACTATTTCAGCTGGAAAAATGATTAACAGTTCACCTGTAGCAGGAGTACCGTTTTCATTCTCCGATTCCTTCAATGACTGCCGATGGTTTGGTGGTGGTCTTTCATTCTGAGGTTCCAGTATATCTCTGTATTTCGAAACCATGAGCACAGAAATAAAATACACAACAGCCAAAGCCAAAAACTGAGCCTGTTTACTATCCTCCTGTAACAAAAAGGACACACACACACAGGTTTTTCCATTACAATTTCAGCAGCATGTTTATTTTTCTGTAAAGTATGCCCAGCGCTACCATAAACAGACCGAGAGTAAGCCGATATGTCAACAATGGAAGAACAATATTCTCTAGCCACAGTTTGTCTCACCTATAAAGCTAGGTAATACAGCAATTGTATTCAAGTGGCACTAATCCTTTCATTTTTCATTTATAAATATGACAACTTTGACTAAGGTTGTGTGCTTTGACTACATGCTTCGAATTAGTGCAGGGACTAGGTCCCCTTTATTTATTCACAGGTGTTTCCTCTATTACATTTCCTCAAATATGCCAAGATAGTAACACCAATTGCTGGCAAGTACAACCAGGCAAGCACACTCAGAGCTGTAAAAGCATTTATAAACTATTACATATTAATGAAGGAAGTGGAACAAATTCCAGAATCAGCATTAAGGTTTTATTTCAACATCAGATTGTCCAGATGGATGTATCGTACTACATACAATTTAAACAAGAATTGGCAAATACGCATTCGCATTACAGCTGTAACTTCATGAAGAGATTTTAAGAAAATCTTAAAAACAAATCTTGATATGTATGCCAGGTATCTCCCCAGAGTACTCAGTCTCTCCTAGTGAAACAGAGTAAAGTGTCACATCCCAGATCTGAGTAAACATTATGATTTAGCCTAAGCCTGTCCCCTTTGGCTGTCGAAGGAAGAAAAGCTTTGTACACTTTTGGATCACAGAACTGAGTATCTGGATCCTTGCTGAGAGAGTGTTTGGGTTTTTGTTCTGGTTTGGTTTGTTTTTTTCCCCTCATTTACACAAGGACTCAGGTAGCATTCAATTTTTCCCTCTGAACAGTTCAAGGAAGTAAGTTAAACTATAAAGCTCATCTTATCGTGCCTGTAGTGCCTATTGAAGTCTCACATTTCATTAAGAGTTTTTTAATAAGTTATGCTGGGAGAAGCTTATGAGAAATTCTCCATTAAGAACTAGATAACGCAGCTGGATCCTATCTGTTACACTGAAGAAACAACCTGTATTCCCCTCAGCTTGACACAAATCCTTAACTTTCATGGAACAGGACAGAAACAGTAAGCTAATAACAGGTTAGCATCAGGCAAGCACAGCACAAGTTTGAGGGAAGTCCCTTGCAACAGTAAGGATTATAAAGAACTTTCTTGCTAGATGAATTTGGCAAGAAGTTTCTAACTGTACTTAAACTTGTAATCCGGTGAATTAGCACTACTCCTTCCTTATTTTTTCTGCTATGTTTATAGAACTTCTTGAAATAAAGTTCATCTACTACCAGAAGTACTACTACTGGTGGCTAAACTGAACCCATCTGAGTTCCTCCTGTATAGGTTCAAATCATGCCAATCACAATTCTATGTGCTGAACAAAATGTAAGAAACTACATGCAAATCAAACAAAATATTTAGACACAAGTATAAGCAGCTCAGATAAAAACTATTCCAAATTAGATCTCTTAAAGTCTACTCTTCCTCCTCAGCTCACCACAGTAGCCAAAAAGCAGAGTTACTGCATCATTGTTTATTTGTGAAATGGAAAACCTGGTGGATTAGACAAGCAAAAGAAGCAGAGGTTCTGTGTGTACACTGTTGGGGTTTTTTTTAAGAAAAAATGAGTACATGAAATGTGCTTGATTTTGAAGTTTGCATCATTAGGATTATTTTAGTTGCCACTAGTATGGAAGATTCACTCCCTGTTACTCTTTTGCACACTGAAGTAGAGGTTGAAAGAAGCTTGTTTCAATCAATAATTGCTGTAAAGATAAAAACCAAAGATCCTTCACTATTCTGGATAGAACAAAAGTCACTGTGTAAATCATTATACTTGCTAAATAGTCCAATTATTGTAAAATAAGTTCTGGTGTTCAAGCTTGTGGCCACCAATGACTCACAGCCATTACAGCCGCTGTATTTGCTTACAGAGGTGTTTTTTTTAAGCAATCAATCTCAATTTCCTCAATATCAGCTATAAAGTTGCTGACACAGGACAAAGCTATTTTTAGTCAATTCAAGACTAAAAAACATATGCATATTTACAGCACATGCACACAAATTGGTTCCTCTGAGAGGAAGTAAAGGAATTAGAAATGACCTCCAATTTCTAATTAGCTAGAAAGATAATCATTTTTCAAAAAGTACTCATAAACATCTTTATGAAACATTGTATACATAAACAGTTCGTCTATGTACAGCAAGTGAAAGTATATATTTGTAGTAAACACAGCATATTTAATATATCTGTGGGGAGATCTTCTAGCAGCCTTCCAGTACCTAAAGGGGGCCTACAAGAAAGCTGGAGAGGGACTTTTTACAAGGGCATGTAGGGATAGGACACGGGGTGTCCTGGTTTAAGCTGGGACAGAGTTAGTTGTTCTTTTTAGCAGCTAGAGGAGCTCTGTTTTGGTTTTGTCTGAGATTCATCATGAGAAGAATTTGATAGTGCACTGATGTTTATAGTTGGTGCTGAGACATCAAGGACCTTTCAGCTTCCCGTCTTTTTCCAGTGTGCAGGAGCACAACAGGCTGGGGGGAAGCATGGCTGGGACAAAGGGCCCACAGCTGCCCCTGTGATTTGATCTTAGACTTAGGATTGAGGGCCAAATTGGCCAATGGAGTATTCCATATCATGCAGCGTCATGCCCAGTATAAAGATGAGGGTTGAATGGAAAGACGGGCTTTTGCTCTTCCAGGGGCTCTCACTCTCGGAATCTCAGAGTGCTCTCTCTCTCTCTTTTCGGGCCTCTCACTCGTCTGGGTTTGCGGTGTCAGGACTTACCTGTTTTGGGATCGTTAGTCCGGGACAGGACAGGCCTTGGTCACCAGGTGGTGAGCAATTACATTGTATATCACTTGTTTGTATATATTGTTATCATTATACATATATATATAAATATATTCTTATTAGTAGTGTTAAATTGTTCTTATCTCAACCCATAGGTTTCTTTCCCTTTTCCCCTTTAATTCTCCTCCCCATCCCCTGAGGGTGGGGGAGGGTGAGTGAGCAGCTGTGTGGCATTTAGTTGCCAGCTGGGCTAGGCCACAACAAGGGGCAATGGATTTAAACTGAAAGAGGGTAGATTTAGATTAGATATAAGGAAGGAATTTTTTACATTGAGGGTGGTGAGGCACTGGAACAGGTTGCCCAGAGAAGTTGTCGCTGCCCCATCCCTGGAAATGTTCAAGGCCAGGTTGGATGAGGCTTTGGGCAACCTTATGGAGTGAAAGGTGTCCCTGCCCATGGCAGGGGGGGTGGGCCTAGATGATCTTTAAGGTCCCTTCCAATATACAATAGGCAGAATTCCAGAGAATCAGGTCTTAGGAACACACGAAAGAGCCTGATCAGCAGGCAGCAATTTTCACCTCTCTCTCTTTCCAATCCCAAACGCCCCAACAGCTGCAGAGTATTATGTGTTCCTAATTACTGCAAGCAGTATTCAGTTTTTGTAAATTTAATTTAGCCAAACTGCATAACACATAGCAAGTGTTCAGCAAACAGATACATGCAGAAATCTAGCTCCAAAGAACACAACGTTGTTTGTAACTTACTATATCTCTGAACACTACTGCTCGAAGTCGATTAATATCCATATCCTGTAGAAGTCTGTCATGGTCTCGTATTGGAGAAATGCCACCGGTCACTATGTCCACTGGACTCTACTCAAAAAAAAAAATAACAGCAGTTGTTTCAGATTCTGTTTTTAAAAGCATTCTACCAACAATCATTAAAAGTGTACAACCACCCACTGTACATCATATTGCCATAACGAGAGCACAAAGACCAGACATGCGTTTCATCTTGAAAGGAAAAAAAAATCTGGCAAATTCTTGTGACAGATTTATTTAACTGCAGAAGGTTAAATATGTAAGTGTTAAATTCACATCTTTGAAAAACTACCTTCAGGATTTCCAGTGTCCATGCCCCTCAGCTCTAATAAAGTATCAGTGGTGCAGGTATAAATTTAAGAACTTAGCCCTCTGTACAGAGTAATAATTATTGACTTCTGCCTTCCCGAATATTGTCTTATACTTGCCTTCGCTGCAGACTTTCCTGTTCCTATAAAGCCCTGCACCGTTTTTTGGTTCTTCCCAATGTCTCCAGCAGGCTTCATCTGCGCATGCTGCTGACACTCCAGGCAATTTCTTACTGCTATTGCACATACTTTAAAGGAAAACAAACATCAAGAATTACTGCGGGGAAACTGTCGTTTATATCCCTTCCAGAGATGCACAATACACTTCTGTTTATCACAAAATAAAAACTGTAAGCACATCAGTCAAATGATATTTAGCTTCCATAAATTTTAAAGTCACACAACTGCTTAAAATTCTTTAGTAATTTATAACTAAAGTATTAGAACACATATGCTATATCTAACAGATACTTCAAAGTGAGTAAGTTAGCACCCTCATTGAAATTTTACCATGCATACAACCACGGGGTGGGGAGGGTGGAGACAGCTAAATTTCAGGCTAGCAAGGAAGACAGACAAGTGATACACTAGCAAAACAAAAGACAATGTTTCCTTCACAATGCTGTGTTTGGACTAAAAGGTCTGAAGTTTTATTTTTTTAGATTCACAATTGTACCCGTTTCATCTTCTAATCCTGCTTTCAAAGGAAAAAAGAACCACCCCACCTCTATACCTGTTTGCATCCCATAACTATTGTTCTACCTGCACAAAGTTTTAACTGCCTAGAAAGGGAGAGGAAGGCTAGTTACTGTTGAGGCTCTGAGCTGCTCTGGCGCTCAAGCAAATTAAACTTTTCATTACAAAAAGTCTTATGGCATACAACTAGCATGAATAATCTCTTCCTCTGTTAACTAACTGAACCCAGTTATGATGTTCTATGTCCTCATTTCCAGAATAATCATTACTTTTTTCAGGTAATGACCACTTCCAAACCAATTTGATGCAAACATACTATAATACTGGATACAATTACTGCCCGGTTTGAACCCTGCTCTTCAGAAATTTACATCTCTGGTTTTCACCGTATCTTGACTGACCTCAAGATGTAAACCTCTTTTCTATGTATTGTAAAGGTTCATGTTTTTATACATAGGACAAGATTTCTTTTTCTTAAAGCTGCTATATTCTCAGCCTTGACTATTTGGAGAACTTCGGCAAAAGAAAGACCTTCATGGATAAAATGAAAGCACGCACCCACAACAGTCAGGCTACCAAGCTTTATTTATTTTATTTAAACCTTTTAAAAAAGAACCCCACGTATAGGCATTGCAGAATACAGTAATAATAAAATAGCAAAAGATTCCAATGCTTCTTTGACTAAATCTAACCTTGATTTAACACAAAAAGGACAGAAAGAAAATTAAAGCTAACAATTGCTATTTAGTAACAGCAACCTCCTGTGCTCATTAAGTGGTTTTGTTTGCTTACCCAGACGAAGACATTGTCGCAGAATTCCTCCAGATGACATATTTTTCTCAGACTCAATTTCAGTGAAACCAAGAGAACTTGCAAAAATTAGCACATCCACAAGGTTGATTAATCTCTGCAGAAATGTTAAAGATGCTTCTACTGAAAGCCCTTGAGTTGGCTCAATGTTCTCCAATTCATGCTACACAAAACAATTGAAAGCAACATTTACTTCTTCACAAAGGTGATATTCCTACAACTTAGACGAAAAAAGTATGCAGAAAGTTCATTTTCAGTCACACTCAAAAGTAGTAATTAGTCATATTCTAGGAACAATCATTAGTATTGGGATTTAATCCCATTCCAGACCACTGTGGGACAATGAAGCTAGGCAATTTCTTTTTCTGTCTTCAGGCAAAGAGGGCAGGCACTCAATTTATCTTAAAGACAGCATGGAGGTAGCAAAGGGAGGGGGGAGAGAGAGAGATGCTCATGGAAATATCCCACATGCATTCCTGTTACCCGAAAGGACAGATATAATAGTTAACAGACTGCAGAAAGAAAGGCATCCTCCCACAAGCGATAAATTTCCAAATAAAAATGAAATTTCTTACAGTAGCGGACGTGGCAGCAGAAAGCAATGGCAATATACCACCACAAGCCATGATCATGTTGTCCATCACTTGAGAAATGAGGTGAATTGTGTTGTGCACAAATATGACATTGTCACTGCTATTCACAAAGTCCATCACAGTTTTTGTAGAATGGCTGTCCAAAAAAAACCATTCAGAACACAGCTTTACTTTTGTGGTATTTTAGCACCTTTATGCTTTCATAAAACTAAAAACAGATAGTTAGCACTGGAGCAACAAATATCACATGACCATAAGGGTCAACTGATGTACCTTAATCTAAATCTAAAACTACCTTTCCTTTCTGTTCTTAAACCTCTCTAGATCATTGCTTGCTAAAACCATAAAGGTGTGTGTTAATCATCATTTGGATAAAATATACCATAGGCTGGTCTATGATTACTCGCTATAGCAAAAGCCATCATATCGGGCAATACGACAAAAAGTTTCCTAGAAGTGTGAACTAGATGTGAATTTATATCTTCGGTAAAATAAAGCAAACATTAAGGGCTTCTCAAAGAAATTAAAACCCATCGAAACACAAAAACTTAAATCCTGTTAAGTACGGAAATAGATTTTCAAAACAGGATCTAAACTAAAAATATATTTTGACTCTATGTGATGATGTCCTGAGAAGTCAATTTAATCACATCCTAAAAATTATAGTCAGACAAAAAATCCTGTCAGTTTTAATTGTTTTAATCACTTAAATATTCTATTTTGTCATCCTTACATACCTTTTTACAGGGTCAGTACAGCTATATGGTTCAATTCAAATCTGACATTTAACTAATACAAGCTAATAATAGACACCGCTCTTATTTCAGTCATTACATTTTAACATTAAAAACGCAGAATTACCACTGTTTTCAAAGTTTCCTTTTTTTACTAAATTCATCTTGATGATTACATTCCAGATCCTTGTTACAAGTTAATTTTTAAATGCATAGAACATCTCAGTATTCACAGAATGCTATCAAAGTAGCAACATAGCATGTGTAAATGCAGGAGTAATAAATACTATTTGGGATAGTCTGGGGGGTTTTAGTCCATATTTAGATACTAATAAGAGACACAGGTCCTTACATACATTACCTGAAAATCACGATACAATAAAAATCAACAGCAAGACTGCCATTGACTTAAAAGTAGCCATGATTTCAGTCAAAATATATTTTCAGGCCCTCAACCAATACACATCTATGTCTGTAAAGAGTCTTAAAAAAAATCTGAGAATATCTGGGTATAAGTCACAAAATAAGTAAGGCTACTGAATGAGTAAAATACCAGACATGCAAAATTCAAAATCAAAGAGCATCTCTGATGCAGTTTCAATGAAATCCCAAGTTAATTATAATTGAAATGCCAGTCTAGATGATTTCTCATAAAGAATAAATATTTACCTTCTCCACATCTGTATATCTGTTTCTATGGAAAACAGTAAGTCTGTGAGCAAGCGCTGATGCATCAGTGACCACTTAAACTCAGGAATACGGAACACAGTCGACCTAGAGTCTCTTCTCCGCCCATCTGATGGAGCAGCTACCTCTTGTCCTGAAGAATCTTGCTGCCTTGAGGTCTGAATACACAGTTTGCAGACAAAAAAAACACCACACCCACACTCTGGTTATTAGTTTCCTTGGCATACACTGAATGCATTTAACAGACTTATGGTTTTATATATTCAATAAGTTTAGACTGTGCACATGGTTACAAATAAAGCTAAAGCTATTACACAAATGCTATTTACTGGAGATACCAAACCTACAAACTACTCTACAGCTGCACTACCACATCTGTCAGTCTAGGCATATACAAGCAGCAACCCAACCTTACCACAGGGGGAGTATATGTTGCTGTAGACAGTGGTTTTCCTCCTTTAAGGAAGAATGGTGCAGAATGGAGAGCATCCATTAGCAGGTATCTCTGCAGAAGGGAAGTACTCAGATACGTGACTATTTAACCATGAAAAGCTGAGTTAGAAACTAAAGGCTAGAGGCGTGAAGCACTGCAGCACGCAACAGAAGCCTAGTTGTAAATTACACTCGTACAAAAAAGATGGACTGACATGATGGAACAACAATTCTGACAAATGGGGGCAGTGAACCTCCTGCAGAAAAGCTAGTGTAAAATATATTTTCACAAGTTCCATCAGGAAATGAAAAAAACTCAGTGCTATTTTTTTATGCCCAAGCAATGTTCGCTTCTCAATAATTATACAAGTTAAGATTATAAGAAATCAGATTGAAAAGAGTAAAAGTGAGGTTAATTAAAGAAGTAGAAGAAATTCTAGATAAAACCCCCTCAGAACATACAAATGTTTCTTTCAATTCTTCAAACTTAAGAACAGAAGTACCAACACAGATGAAGTGTCCATCTACCCAAATACTCAGTCTCCATCAGCATCCATAAATGGATGTACAAAGAATAAAGTCCTAGAGACTTTTCAGTACACAAATTAGCAAGAATTACAGCTATTTTAATCAAGTGTTGAAAGCATTCTTTAGATAGCTCACAAAAATTAAAATCCCCAAAATGTGTATGGGCAAACTTTTTTAAAAATCTCATAAAATAAGAACTTCCTTTTATATTTAAGCTAGATAGGAGAAGGACAGGTAGAATTTACCTCAGGTATGGATCTAGGGGGTAAAGGTGCTTCTAGACACGTGTTAGCTTTCAGTTCCAGTTTTTCTGTATCTGATGCAACACTAGAAACATCAAGCTTGGTGATTCTTTTGTCAGGGGCTCCAGCAGGCTCTGACACACGCGCATTTGCATTTTCTTCAGTTGTTTTAGTTTCAGTAAAAGGAATCTTTTTTTCCTCCAGCTTCTTTTTCCCTTCTGAACTCGGTTGAGTCGCTACTTCTTCACTTGAAGAACTCACTGTTTCTGGTAAAGAAGTCAGTTCTTGTTTTTTCCCATCCACACCCTCAGTATCTTCAGATTTTAAAAGCACAGACTCCAGTTGCTTCTCTACTGCTTTTTCCAGTTTTGTCACTTGGCTTTCATTAGAGCTACATTCCTTGTTTGTTTCTGCGAGCTCTTCTGAAGGTAAAGGCATAGTACTTTCCTCCTTCAAATCAACAAAGTCATCTTCATCTTCCACCTCTACTGTTGATTTTTCCAGTCTCTCCAGACTTTCAGGAGTTTCTCCTTCCAAAGTAGTTTGCATTGCTAAAGAATCAGCAGTGACAGGTACTGTTTCCTCTACAGGCTCGTCAGCTTTGCTCAGAGAATCTTCAATTGCTTCAGCTATTCCAGTACTAATTTCTGAAACACTGGGCTTCCTGGCTTCTGGTTCTGGAGAAAATGCTGCACCAGACACTGCTTTTACATCCTGTGTAGTCTCCTTGTCTTCCCCCTCTAACTCCTCCCGGTGATTAGACACTGAATAAGTTTGTTGGTCACCATCCAATGAGGTATGTGTCTCTTTGTTTTCAGTACTGCTCTCCGTATCATCACCAATAACACAGGAAGGAGCAGCAGCAACTTCTGTTAACTCCACACACTGTTGCTTTTCCTTGGTTTCAGCTTCTTTTCTAACTCCAGAGATTGTTCTAATTGGAGTTGAAGAACATACTTCACTTCCTTCACCTCCTTTCCCTTGGTACTCCCTGTACAGTTGAGAAAGACTCTCTTTGTGCATTTCAAAAGTTACCTAAAACAACAGAGTTGAAAGTACATTAAAAATTACATATTAATGACTATTTTCCCTGAAAAAAACACCCACCAAAATAATGCTCAAATCACAAAGTCACACTACAAATTTATATTGGATACTGTCCTCATGATAAAATACAATTTCACATTGGAGATCACTCCAATTGAGTACAAGTTTTTGAGGGTACCTGTTGTTAAGATTAAACATCAGAGTCAGAAAATCCTAGACTGATCCTAAGGACAGGAAATTAAATGTTTACTCAGAGTTTTAAAGACTACTTCTAGTAAAAGAAGTAAAAATATTTCAAGTTCAATATTTATAGCTACACTTGCATTATTTCCTAGGCTAGCTACAGTCATCTGTAATTAGAGTTATCTGTGCTACTTGCATTCATGTAATGATACAAGACGCAGACAAAAATGTGACAGCATAATATCCAGAGAATTACTAAATTTGATATAACCGACAATCTCAACTTTTTTGTAAAGGGGGACACACTGTGATAAGTAGCAGGGACACTTACTATAGCTGAGCTTTCACATCATTTTAGCATCTTGAGTATGTTCAACATCCACAAAGAGAAATAAACTTTTGACAAGTTTTTACATTACAAAAAAAAAATACAATCCCACAAAGTCAGAGCAGAGAGAAGCATGCAACAAAGCCAAAATCCTGGGGACCTCCAAATGATAGAAAACTCCTCTGGAGAATTTTATGTAAAGGCACATGAGAACAGCTACAGAATCTGATCCAAGTGAGATGATGTTCCTACAGATGAGTTGAAAATAATTATTAATGTTTTTAGGTATTTTTAAGAAAATTCCAGGTGGAAAAATTCTTCATACACATACTGATAAAACTAATTTGCCTAAATAAATAGCTGTGCATTGAAAGAAAATCTCACTAGACTAACTGAAGTTTTTATTATGCCATCATTCAATTTAGTTTATCCACATCTTCCTATTTACGATTTAGATTTATTTTGTATAACAGAAGTGTTTATCTTCAAGCTTAGTTCTCAAAATTCTCCCAACATATAAGCTGCAGCTGAGGTGTTTTTTTTTAAAAACCATTTTCTTTATGATAAAGATTTTCCGTAGACAGAGCGGTACATTTCACTAAATATACAAAGGCACATTCTCTTATTCTCTTACATACTATACTCATTCATTTGGATCTCATCTAAAAATTCCATGTATTCGAAGTGACCATCAGTCAGGGAAAATACTTTGTCTTAAGACAATACGTGTAAGTCAAAAACTAACTTAACAGGTTAAAACGGTACTAGAAGTTACAGTTTACAATTCAGAGAGGAGCAAACAAAGATAAAAAGGAATATTCTTGACAGGTTGTGTTGTCAACATTAGCTTTTTAACAGACTATTTTTCTCCATCAATCAAATACAAATTAAAGTACTGTAGGGGCAGTGTACTCGTTCTAACACATGACCTGAAGCATGTTATTTGTTCAAGCTGATTTAATTGAAACTGGAGTCTGTAGCAACAGAGCTAGGATATCTTCCTCTGTTTTAAAAAAGTCTTCCTGTACTAGTTTTAAATCAGTTATGTACAAATAAAAAAGTGTGAATGATAACAAATTACTGAAAGTTCATCCGTCACACTGGATCTTATAAAATATTTGATTATAGGGTATTGATAAATACAGCATGCAGGGGACATGACTATTTTAGAAATACTTCTTTCTTGAACTGTACCACAGTCAGGGTGTCAAAAGAAACCCAAACCAGATCACGCTAATAAGCTCTCCCTTGCATTTTTAATGTGTTTTCAGAAACATGATTAGGCAAAGCTGTTACTTTTGGCCAAACAATTACTTTCCTGAAGAAGAAATCTTGACAACAAAAATGACTCCTCAAAATTATTTGCGGGTTTTAGCTATGCTGCATACTTACTTTTTTAACACTGTTAAGCTACATGCAAGTATGAGACCTGGATTCTACTCTTATTATCCAAAACTGTTGAACAAGTCTCAGGTCTAGCCCCAAAAATCTTATTTCACTAGTTACCTTGAACCAAGGCAAAGCTAGATAAAGATAAAGATGAGAATGGAACCTTTTTTCCCTTTTTTTTTTTGTGGAAAGGGGCAAATGAGGGAGACGTATGTCAAATTCTATTGCTGCTGCTGCCATCTCTCCCCAGTACAAATGGGCATAGGCACGATGACACTAAGATGATCACAAGAGAGTGGCTGGAGGAACCTGTTTCAAAACATGATTTTCTTCAATGCTCAAACTTGACTGAAATGGAGAGTAGTGCATAACTCCCAGAACGTGTTCAATAGCAGCAACAATTCAATCTTATTGGAACAAATCATTGAGATGTTTTGCAGGGCTGGCAGTTACTAAATCCACCTTGCAAAAACAGCACATTCTCAGTATTGCAAGAGTTTGATCAAGCAACACTTGATGCTTACACTGGTCCTTACAAAACATAACAAGCTTTAGCAGCAATATAAAGTTCTAAGTTCTGGCAGCCCTATCTACGTAAGTGCTTTGATAAATTGCCAACCTGGTTCAAGTAAATTGCAAGCATCAAGGACTATAACTTTAAATGCATTCTAAAAGCATATCATCAGTTCTGTTACAGTTGCTTTCCCCTAGCACTTCCCAGAAATCACTGAGGTTAAGGCCAGAAAGTAACATCAGATCATCTAGCGCAGCTCTTCATTTTAACCCACTGTCCTACACACTGAGTCAAGTAACACAGATTGGAAGACAGCACCCAGAAAGTTGTCCAGGCTTGGTTTTAGAAATCAAGAGATTAAATCTCCCCTGGATCACTTGTTCCAAATCTACTCTACCATCTAAAAAAGAAAAAAAAAAATGCACCCTTCTTCATTTTGAAAGTCTAGCTTCAATTTCTAGTCATCAATTATGTCTGCATTTCAGAGTTATTAAAAACACCTCCATGAGGAAAACAATATCATGTTTTCAAGGTGTTGTTTTTTTTCTTTAACATACTATAACGATGTTTTTAAAAGCCTAAAAGAGGGAGAAGTAACAGGACCACCTAAAAAGAATGAGCTTTCATTCTGAAGGACTAGAACTCTTCCTGTGACCCCCCTCTGCAACCTTTCCAGCTCAACAATTTCCAGCTCTTCAAAAAATCTTTAATTAGTATTTTCATGCGTCATTCCAGTGATGATGGAAGTCTCATTAAACTCACAGGTTGCTTTTACTCTTGCATACTTTATGGCTTCTCACTTTCCACACCGCGAACACATTTTACAGTGCTGGCAAGTACTTTTGGAGAAATGGTCAGTTAGTTGTATCTCAGCTTGTATAACCTGTGATGGACTCTTTTTCTGTAATGCTGACTTTTTTTCTAGCGTGCTACCAAGTCAAACACCTTTAACAAAAGCCTATTACAGCTTCAGAGGTTCTCTTACCAACCAAATTTATCATCTTGTTAACAGCATTAAATCAACCTTGCTTGAACATAAGTCAAAACCTGCTCTCCTCAAGTCCAGGGCTGTGAGCTTGCTTTTACTCTCCTCCCTCCCCTCAGGATTCCACCATTTCATGGTCACTGCAGCCAAGGCTGCCTTTGACTTTCACATTCCCAAAAAGTCCCTTATTGCTGATGAGTATAAGGGTCCAGCAAAACACCTCTCCTCATTGGCTCCTCTATCACTTGGAGAAGAAAGAAGTTGGCAATGAACTCAAGGAACCTCCTGGATTGCTTATGTCTTGCTGTGTTGTCCCTCTGGCATATATCAGGCCCATGAGGGGCAGGGTCTGCAAACATGAGGCTGCTCCTATCTGTCTGCAGAGGACCTCATCTGCTTGTTCTTCCTGGTCAGGCAGTCTGCAGCAGACACTCACTATGTCACTTTTACTGGTCCTCTCTTTAATCCTAATGCAGAAACTCTTAGTTGGCTAATTTCTAATTAGTAACTGTCAGTTACTAATTTCTAATGCAGAAACTCTCAGTTGGCTCCTCATCTATCCCCAGGTAGAGCGTCATGCACTCCAGCTGCTCTGTCCCATAAAGGGCAGCTCCCATTCCTCATCTTCTCAGACTGTACTTCCCCTAAAGGGCTGGTATGACCCCAGTCACGGAAGCCATTTCACCACATCTCCATCATCCTAACAAGATTGTTCTGTGCATGTCATACTTCATACTACATTACCAAAATCTTCCAAATTTTCTGGTCCCTCATTAGCAGCTTCACTGCCTCATTGATAAACATGTCATAGCCAAGATTTCAGTTATTCTTAATAGTTTAAGGCCTTATTGCCTTGCCAACAATGGAGTTCCCCTGCCTTCAAGCTCTTTCCTTCACATCATAACTTCTCATTTAATTCTAAAGACTCGTAAAATTTCAGTGCTGGAAGAAAAGCTCCTCTAGATCTAAGACTCCCTATTTTTTATAATCCAAACAATCACAAAACCAAATTCTATCTAAAAACCAGCCACTGTTTCAGCAAAGCCCTCCCCCATATTTATGAGCAATATATACTTATCTTATTCATTCATTATTCAAAATCTTCCTACGCTACTTTCTTTCTTTTGTCTTTTAGGACAGTTTCCTGTTGTGTGGTTTGTTTTTCCTAATAACCTACACGTGCTACCTTGAAGTCAGATAGGCACCATAGGTATTTGTATTTATTTTGAATGTCAACATGTGAATCATGAATGACAAACTAAGCACTGTTGTTTTTCCAACTACAGCTGTTGAAAGTATGACTTCTACTGACTGTATGGGTTAGAGATGCAACCAACTTTGCAACAAGCTGATCTTCAACCCAGCTATGGTCAACAGTTAAAAATTCAATGTATGGTACAAGGATGCAATATAATTTCACAACCAGTCTCATCTGAAACAGGGAACAGACAATGGCTTTGAAGCCAAAACACTCTGGAAAACTAACTGTGCTCTTCAGGATTGTTAATCACTACTAATACTACTAAAAAAAAAAAAGAGTGGCAAGAAGGTCAATATAGACAACTTATCTTTACAGATGAGCAATGTAA